AAAAAAAAAAAAAAAAAGAATAGATGGTCTCCTGATACTACAAGCATTTCTTTCAGTAGTCTTCTGACAACAAAAACATGGTGATAAGTTGCAGCATATCTCTACAACAATGTATCTTCTTTAACAAATTTATCTTCACTGGAGAAGGTGGATTATAATGTAAGTGTTATTTTTACATGTTCAGGAGAAATATTGGAATGACATTTTGCCAGTGAAGACTAAGGTTTATCAATAATCTGACTCAAACTGCTTGATTTGCATAGATTCCTTGATTCAGGACCCTTTCATTTGATCTTTTCCCTATAATACTTAGAAGTAATTCTGGGAACATGGTACACTCCCATTAAATACTTGATTCTCCTTGTATGATTTTTCTGCATGTCTGAGAACCAACTTGACTATTAACTGATGCAGTCTTTTGCTTTCTTTCCGACTTTTGCTTCATTTTCTTATCGTTACATCCTGTCCTAGATCCATGTTAACATTACAAGTAAGTTTAATAGCTTGTGCAAAAGGAGAAGCCCACTTTTCTTGTGATGAGTTTACAAGCAAAGATGTATATCCTCAGAGGAATGTTGGCTGCAAAGCAATGTCACTAAAATAATTACTCAGAAGGCACAAATGTGTGAAGTTAATATGTATGCCTTTTAGGGCTTAAAAACACTCTTATATTTAGAGACTAACGCTGTTGTTATTTGTGACATGCCATGGAGTCAGTTCTGACTTATCTTGATGTTGTTAAGTGCCATTCATAGCGACCCTGCATAGGGTTTCCAAGGAAAGCTGGTGAGCTTGAGCCTCCAACCTTGCAGTTCAAGTGACTTTGCAGTCTGGGTTATGAACCCACAACAGTGCCACATCGGGACTACTTCTGATTCATTGCTGTTGTTGTTAGGTGCCATCGAGTCGGTACCGACCCATAGCTACCTTATGCACAGCAGGACAAAACACTGCCCGATCATGGGCCAACCTCACTACTGTTGCCACTCTTGAGTCCATCAATGCTGCCACTTGGCCAGTCCATTTCGCCTAGGGATCTTCCTCTTTTTTTCTGACCTTGCACCTTACCAAACATGATATCTTTCTCCAGTGACTGGTCCCTCCTGACAATATGTCTGAAGTATGAGAGACGAAGTTTGGCTGTCTTGGCCTCCAAGGAGCACTCTGGCTGCACTTCTTCCAAAACAGATCTATTGGTTCTTTTGGCAGCCCATGGCACTTTTAGTATTCTCCTCCAACACC